AAGACAGTAACCAATGAAATAAGTTTTGCTTGCTCGTGAACATTAGATCATATTATAAAAGGGATAGATTGTAAAAATAAAGTGTCTTTGCTTGTCTTCGCCTGAACTCATATGCGGAGTCCATGTCTCATTCCCTTCAAGCTGACATGGAGATGGAAGGAAAAAAAGACAAAACTGTTTTATTGATTTACTCCTGCATTGACAGGTACCTTGTCGTGGATGGAGCAATATGTTTATTGATAACAAAGTTTGATAGTAAATGCAACAGTGGTTTAACAAGATTTGTGGCACAGAACTGAGCTGAACTCACTCTGGTTTGCAAAAAGGCACAGCCAGTTTGTACCTAAATGTAGGGGCAGTAGTTAAGGCAGTTTAAACTGCTGACAGTCCCTCTACTTACAGTCTTCATGTCATGGGCCTAATGTATTGTTCCACCATAAATGTTAGTGCAGGAAAGTATGAAGTATTGGGAAAAATGTTGCAAATTTTCTTTTTATCCCTGTTTCCACATTCCATGATTTTCTGTGTGGTTCAAGCCACCCTTCTGCCAAAGCTCATGCCTTAACCACCTTTTGTTCTTAGTCTAAGAAACTCCTCCCCAGCTCCTAATAGAGCACCATGCGCAGACCACATGTTGGGACCTCTCGCACCTGCAAAGTGAGGCAGGGAGGCCACACAGGCAACCATTTTCTCCTTTCATGTATGTGTCTTTGTACAGAGCAGCTGCCGCCGTTCAGGGCTCACCTCTGGGGAGCAATGCAGAGGGAAGCTAGCTCCAGGGGGGACATCCAGGATGCCCCTAATAAATTTAGCCCTATTGAAAGCAACTGAGACTATGCTAAAGGCTATATGACAGGGGCTGCAAAGCCTCTCGGCGCATGCATTCGACATGCTGCAGTGCTGCCTTGGAGGGTGAGTTTTGCTCAGACCTCACTGGTATCCCACACACAGCATCTCCCATTTCTCTAGGGACAGTCCCTGGTACAGCTGTGGTGTACAGCTGCTGGGACGGCAGCACGCATTGCAACCAGACCTGGAGCTGGCATACTGCTGCCCATGGAGAAAACTTTCACAAAATAACTCTCATATGTGATATAAATCACCGAACATCCCTGATATAGAGTCTTCGGTAGGCTATGAGCACTGGCCTGAATAGATTTTCTTTCGAGTGAACATCCTACAGTTTGCTGCTGATCTCTCATAACTGACTACTGCATTAATATAAGCCAGTTTTATAAATTCCTTAAAATAGCTGACTTCATCCTATTTTCTTTTTGAGAAAGAACTAATCCCTTTAATCCACAGCTAATCCCATCTATATAAATTTCAAGCTTTTCAGGGCATGGATGCTTGCTGTCTTTGTGCAACGCAGAGGCTGGCTGGGCTTTACGAGCTCACTGTAACATGGATATGCAACAATTGGTGTAGTCTGGCAGCCAACAACAGCAATACAAAATTTAGCTTTAAGTGCCAAGACTGAGAATTTTAGATAGTGACAAATGCTTGTTTTCATCCATAGTGAAATCAGGAAAGCTGCCTAATGTGTCTAAAGAAACCACCACAGGTGGTCCACAGCCTGCAGCTTGCCAGCGTTGTTGGAAGATTGCAAAAGATGTTACACTTGGCCAGACATTCCTTGCCAGGTCTGACGCTTTTTGCACGTGGTCTCTGACCACGGCGGATGGCAGCAGAGCATGAAAGGAGCCCTTCTTCCCCTGTCACATCCCGCACTGGCACTAGAGCCCTGCTGCTCTTGCCTTCAGCAGGGGGAGGTGCCTGTGCTGTGCAGCAGCCCTTGCCCTTGCTCTAGCACTCTGATTTCCTCTATGGAGCTTGATGGGCATTTATCTCTGCTTGCTCTTCTGTATGCTCTTCACTTGCTGCACTGAATTTGACCCTAGAAAACCAAGTAAATTTTAGCAGTACCCTTGATGCATGCAGGATCTTTGCAACTGGAAGGGAATAGGGACAGTGAGGAGATCTAGGACTAAACACCTTCACTCTCTGCTCATCACGATTTGGCAGAGAGGCACCAAAGCTCTCATGACAAGTGGGAGTGAGCTCTGAACTGCAGGGCACCCTGAAGCAGCACCTACCCCTACAAAGCACTCATCCGGCTGCCTGGCCCCACTGCTTTGCGAATACAGGGACCAGCTCTACAGCCACCACTCTGCACTTGGCAGGTGCTCTGGATGCAGTTTAAAATATCAACAAGATGATGTTTAAGGAAGTACTATATAACCCCAGAAAATATTTTGGCTTATTGACAGAAGCTTGCCAGGCTTAATGGAAATCCAGCATCCAGCTTCCTAGAGCAGACACAGTCACACAATGACAGAGCAGTTTTCACATCATTTGCAGTACTTACTGTTTAGGCAGTAACTTCCACATTCTGCAGTGAGTCAGCACAAAACAAAACAAGAACATTCTGGTTTTATTTTTCTGTAGCATAAAAGTCTCCCTTCCAATGACCAGTTTCATGCCCACCTTTCTGCAACTGTGTGATCCCCACTTCCCTTTTGCATAGGCAACTATAATCACCTATGAAGGCAGCACTCTTTTATTAGTGTTTTGCCCAAGTATTTATATTTGCCTGCTCAAAACACACAAAGGTACAGTCAGGTAGGACCGGCACCAAACCCCTCTACTAGTCCTAGTTTTCAAATCCCAGTGACTCACCATGGTTTACACAGGGATCAGCTCTAACCAGAGGAAAGCAACAGTTCACTGTTCTACTCCATCTTACAATTAAGTATCAATACCTTTAATACTTCCCACAGCTTGGACAGAAGATATAAAGCACAGCAATGCCAGCAGAAACTCTGTTGAATCCTTGGCCAATGATCCATTACAATATCAATCAATATCTCACACATTTCATACCAGTATCATTTGAGTTTTTGTAAGTGGCATGTATAATTTTGGAGAATGAGGCACAGTCCCTCAACAAGCACTTTGTTTTTTCAGGGCATGGGGTTACAGCAGCTCACCAGCAAGCAGGATGGAGACTGCACCTTCGGCCTCTCACATACCCTCTGAGTGCACTAACCAAAACCCTGTTCTGAAGTAGGAGTGGATACACATGTGCATCCTGCCTTAGCCGTGTCTACACCCTACTGAAGAAACACAGTGTGGTGGGTTGACCCTGGCTGGATGCCAGGTGCCCACCAAGCTGCTCTACCATCACTCCCCTCCTCAGCTGGACAGGGGAGAGAAAATATAATGAAAAGCTTGTGGGTTGAGATAAGGACAGGGAGAGATCATTCACCAATTACCATCACAGGCAAAACAGACTCGATTTGGGAAATTAGTTTAATTTATTACCAAACAAATCAGAGTAGGGTAATGAGAAATAAAAACTAAATCTTAAAACACCTTCCCCCCACCCCTCCCTTCTTCCCAGGCTCAACTTCACTCCCTATATCTCTACCTCCTCCCCCCAAGTGGCACAGAGGGACGGGGAATGGGGGTTGCAGTCAGTTCATCACATGTTGTTTCTGCTACTCCTTCCTCCTCAGGGGGAGGACTCCTCACACTCTTCCTCTGCTCCAGTGTGGGGTCCCTCCCACAGGAGACAGTCCTCCATGAACTTCTCCAATGTGGGTCCTTCCCACGGGCTGCAGTTCTTCACGAACTGCTCCAGCATAGGTCCCTTCCACGGGGTGCAGTCCTTCAGGAACAGACTGCTCCAGCGTGGATCCCCTGCGGGGTCACAAGCCCTGCCAGCAAACCTGCTCCAGCATGGGCTCCTCTCTCCACAGGTTCAGAGGTCCTGCCAGGAGCCTGCTCCAGCGTGGGCTTCCCACAGGGTCACAGCCTCCTTCGGGTGCATCCACCTGCTCTGGCATGGGGTCCTCCACAGGCTGCAGGT